CCTGCCAAGTCACTCGCCCGCCTCTTGCCGAGTGCGGCGAGCGCCATCAGAGCTCGCGCTATTTCTGCGAGCACCATCCTTCGGAGCTCAACATGTATGAGAGCAGGACAAAATATCGCCGGTACGCACCATCCCGTCAAAAGCGGCTTGTTTTGCAAGTGCATGCACGTGTGCATGACAATATTGATCGATTGTTCAACCTTTTGGATCTTTCCAGTAGACATCCTCAAGCATTGGGCAAGACCAGCAAGTTGAAAACCCCAAAGCAGCATCCTAAGCAGCTTCAACTGCACGAAACATATACATTTCATGGAACACTGTGAAATTTGATGCAACCCTCGCGATCTGGATGGTACCGCAAACATGCAATCCATCGAGAAACGCCAAAAAAAAAAAACACTCATGCAATCCGTCACGGCACGCAACATGAAAAGACTTTGCCATAGGCGGCAAGGAGCTTCATGCAAAACGCAGCTTGCGCAGTTGCAGCCAAGCATAGAAAGGGACAAATGAAGGGGTGGAACAAATGGCATTCAAGTCGACGTGAACAACGATGTGATCATGGTGTCAGAATGACGCCAGAAACATCCCTGAGCAAGCCCTAGACCATGTCTAAGAGCAAAGTTACTTTTCCCGAGCCTTCAAACTTGCACATGCACACCTGTATGGAACCCGACATGCACAAACACACTTCACGAAACGCAATGGCAATAGTCAGACCTGTGCACTCAACCTCGCATGGCATGCATCATGCGCAAATACGTGCTTAAGGAAAATCAGATCTGCGCATTCAAATCGGCATACAGCGCAACACAAACACATGCTTCCAGAGGCAAAGGGGGCAATGTTGAAACTCAGACCTGAATGCTCAAACCCGCACGGAACGCAACATGCACAAACAACATCCACAGGAATTCAAGGATGAATAACTCCCATTTTGTGGGACCCTTTCAGCATTTCGTGCCCGTAAGCACAAAAGAAGTGATTGTAACCCTGAATGCTGGGGTGGGGCGTTTGCAAGTTGGATTCCCGCATCCAACTCAAACAATCAAAGCCTCAGTGGAAATTGCGGGGTGCGAATTGCACGTTGGCTTCAAGCAGCCCTGGAGTCCTGCGCGGTGTTCCTGGCAAGCCAGGCAAATTGTGATAAATAGCGGTCCCCCTCTCAGACCGCTGGTCACATTAAGGAGTCAAACAATATGCCCCTGGGGTGTTTGCTCGCGAAAGATTAAGTATGCTGAGCCATGTTTGGGGCAAATACCCCAGAAAGGATACATGGCTAAATCATCTTTGAATGTGCATTCAAGCGTCCCGTGACGTTTTGCACACCTGTGTGTCTGACCAAAGCATAGCTCATGCGACGAAGGCACAAGCGCAAACCATTCACAACACCCAACACTGGCTTGACATAAGTGTGGTGCTTGCATTTTGGCAAGAGCGTCTGGCTCAAAAAATGAGAGCTAAAAGAAACACCCGTCTGACAACAGGCCCACTTCCATCATGCCTTACTCACAAATCAAAGTGAGAACGAACTCTGCCTTCAGCACAAAAGGTGTTGCTCGATCGTGCCAACTCTTTTGGGCCAACGCTGACAATTTGCCCTTTTCCGAGCCTGGATGGGTCAGCCGCTCCACTTGTAGGCGTCTGACCTTGACAAAATTTCCATGTGTTGTGTCTCCTGCATGGCCAATTCAAGCAGCAGTGCGCATTCCTGTTGCTGCCTTTAAGAGTTTCAAAACCAATAGGGCATAAGATTAATCTAGGATTGCGTTGCGCCGTCTGGATTTGTCCATGTTTTGCCTGAAGGCTCACCATGCTCCGTTGTGGCGTGTCATCTCACATCATGACTTGGCTTGGATTTAGGGTTGGTGATTAGCTGAATGGTTGGCTTGGGGTGGATTTTGGCTTGGTTGAGAGGTGGTCAATGGTTGTTGGGTTGATGTAGGTTGGGCTCCGAAAGCATTTACGAGAGGTTCACGATGGGTGTTGGGTAAGCATAGTGGGCTTCGAGCGCATTTAGCGTTGAACTGTCAGCACATGCGAAACTGGCTAAGCTGAATCCTCAGCACACAGCGTAGCTTACTCACATTGCTACCATGTTACAGCTCTTAGCATGCATAACTCATAAAGGGTTGATTAGGATTGGCGGGTTGGGTGAGGATGTGTTCAGGTATGCGCTTGATCTGAGGTAGGTTCAGGGTTGGGTTGAGGGTGGGTTTAGAAATTAGGGTTGAGGGTGGGTTAGGGTCAGTTTGCAAAGTTGATGCAGGGTAGAAAGCCAAAAGTTAAAGTCGTATTTAGTAAGCACCAAAACCGGTGACAAATCACGTTCAAATGCACACAATGGAAACCATGTCCGACAATGTCCTCCGAATAAACATCTACAAAACCCTGTCATGCTGCATCCTTGCTGCAAACTCTTGCTAGGGCTGTAATCTCGCCATAGCCAGAGTTTACCATAAAACACAATCATACAATACTCTTTGCAATTTGAACCTCTTGCCATCCAGCCGTCCCAGCCTGGTACTTGTCGTTTTGCCTGCAATCGTCTTGCACATGAGCGGTTGCCAGTATCACTGGCATGCACATGTACAATGACTCCCATGCTTAGGCGATGAAGCCTATCAACCCATTCGACTGTGCCTCATGTGTAGCCGGAGTCAGCTGCCAGGTATGCATCTATCGCATGCGACAAATCAACAGAAACTTGCGACTGACCTGGAACCCTGAGACAACCTTCTGCTTACGGTTTTTGCCAACGCTCTCTAGTCCCGCTCAGGCTCACATACAACCGCCTTCCGCAAAATGCTACCAGCGATCTAGCAAGAATAAGCAACTTCGTTCTAAGCGACAAGGCGATCAGCGCTTGTGCCTGCGCGACCTGGGAGCTATTGTCTGCATACCTGGAGGCTCATTCAACAGGCACGGACCGAAGACTACCCTTACGGATAGTGACAGCAGGTTGCCCAACCATTCCTGTCAATCTCCATACGTCTTGGATGTCTTGGAGGGAGGGTCAGCAGCAAGGTGGGCACAGGAATGAATAGCAACACACAAAAAATCCAAGAGACAACTCCAGAATCGTTGTTCTTGGCATCGGTACACACGTTTTCCCTGAACTGGACTAGGCAAAAAGGAATCCAATGCTCGCAGAACAATTTCTGTGCGGATCTGAGCAGAGCAAAATTGAATCTCACCAACCATCCCATCCTCCACTCCGACTCTGTGCGTCATGCACGCGCCCCTTTTCTCTGTGCAGCCTCTTGGACAACTGCCTCGGGCGGGCAAGCCAATCGAACTTAGAGAGAGAGAGAGAAAGAGAAGAAGCCGCACCCTCACAACTTCCGCTCTCCTCATATCGCGCCATGTCTCCGGGAGCCACAGGGTGTTAAAGCAAGTTGCAGGTGCCGTGTCCTTGCAATTGTGCAGTTTCAAACATCGTCCCTGCGAACCGAACACGGCAAGCCAGCTACATTGCCAAAGCCAGAATCTACATACTACGCGTTGCTTCGCCAAATCTGCAGATTTCAGCGTTTTGGCAGCCTCGACAGTCAACTGCGTCCTGTGCGCCGCATTTACTGCAAGAACCGACTCATTTCCACGAAGGGGAGGTGCAGCAATGTGCTAACTTGCCACTACGCATGAGAATGAGATGACTTGCGGGCACACGTAACACAAGCTGCAGCTGGACCCCTTGAACATCGATCTTGGCTTGCATCAAAGGCTTTCAGGAGCGTCCGTTCTACCATTTTTGCCCGGATGCGCCTCCGAAATGGACAACAGGCAGGGCAAAAGTTGCTTAGGAACATATTTCTGATGTTGATTGATTCTGCGGCAGGGGGGAGGGCTTTGTGACGACAAGGTCTTGGAAGTGCACACCAGCAACTTCAATGAGATGTTTTCCATCCCCAAAAGCACCGTGTCACTCCCGACTCTTTGCCAAAATGCCAAGGCGAGCCGTGCTGCGATCAACCATGTACAGGACCTTGCAAGGCAGCGTTACGGCGATCCTCCAAAACAATCCCTGCACACTAGGACCAACCCCGTCTCAGTGTCAGCCACACTTGGAGAACCAGCCTCACACGAAACGTCATTGTTTGCACGTGTTGGTGAAAAGAAGGGCTGAAGACTGAGCATTCGCTTCTCAGAATTCGCATTCGCAACTGGCAAAATATGAATTGGCTACCTCACCACAAAAACCAAGCCACCAGTCGAAGCTCAAGGAACAAAGGCTGACAAGCTGAAAACTATGATATACTATAATCAAGCAGCGACATGGCAAGGGAACAGCTGAGCTGAGCAGTGCGTCGACCTTTGCTCCATTCCAGCAGCTTGCATGCAAGCTCCGAGTGGTTCACAAACCCTCGCATCTTGTCTTTGGAGAAACATGTCATGGGGCCCAATGACAATTTCTTGCCGAGAACAAGTAGCAACACTTGAGACAAACTCTGCACTAGTCCGGTAGCGAAGCTGCACTTTGCTTTTGACCCACGATGCCTTCCATGCGCCTGCCAAGCGACCCGCTCGCACCCCATTCAGTCGTGGCCTGCTACCTACAGTAGATTGCAAACGGAAAGCAGCCTGGCAGTTGTTTCTGGATCTCTACAAGAATTGGCCGCTTCCCGTGAAAGTTCATGCACAAAGATCTGTACAGCCATCCCTTGAACCCAACACAATTTGCAGGCACTCTGCGCACTAGGGCCCAAATTGCCACGTGACCAGCACTCATGCAATTGGCCACGTGACCAGCACTCATGGGCTAAAGGCTCTACAGGCATTACTTGTTCACCTTTATAAAACCAGCTATTGTTCTACAGCGGTTTTGGGCGCTCATGTGAGTTTTGGGAAGGCGATCGCATTGCGAAAGAATCCGGCGGGGCAGCATGTCCGTATTCCATGCTGCTTTCTGAACATAGCGCTGGCAAAATGCCTCCAATCCACCACAACCCCCTGAAACGTAGTAGCACAAGAATCACTTGCAACACTTGGAGAACACCACTGACTTCAGGAGTAGAGGCACATGCTCAGGCTGAATCTGCAAATAAACCCATGCTTGAAGGTAGGCGCCTTGAAAGCTACCTTACCATCAACAGAAATTCGGATCATGCAACAGAGCATGCCCAGCCATGTAGATGTAGAACTTTCCGAACCACCAACGCCCATGCAGCGCTTGGGGGATCGAGGGTGATAGCACGGCGCACCTCAGCTAGACAGTGGAAGTTCTTTGGGCGAGTTCAGAAAACCAATAATGTTAACCCCGGATTAATAATTGTTTGGTTTATTAATAGAGGGGTGTCCCTAGTTTTAGTGGAGATTTATCACTTTTGGAGGAGAACACCCCCATATTAATAAACGGGGGTTTGTTAATCCGGGGTCAACATTAATACGTAGACGGTGATGGCCAAGGCTGCTGCTTCCAGGATAAGAATGGATAAGATCTGACAAACTTTGAGCTGTGCAGCAAACAGCAATCGGCAAACGACAAGCAACAAACGAGACACGAGAAACGACAAACCACAAGCAACAAACAACAACCACCAAACAACTAACGTAAGACAAACAACAAACGACAAACAAAGAACAACAAACAAAGAACAACAGACCACAAACAACCAATAACAAACAGGAAACAACAAACAACCACCAACATACAAACAACACACGACAAACAATAAGCAGCAAACGAGAGACAAGCCACGAAACACAACAATCCAAATACAACAAACGCCAAACACTGACCGACAAACCACGGACCTGAAAAAAAGGTACGACAACCGACAACGCCAAGGATGAGAATGCCAAAACCAAGGCAAATGCTTTAAGCCGGGGCGCCTATGGCTCCGGCTCCTCCCATGCGCCCTGCTTGGAGTTCCAAATCATGGCTTTGCCCTTGTTCTCCCCGTGCTGGCCAGCGTTCGGTGCTGTTGCAACATGTTTGGTACTCTCTTTTTGGGAAGCATTGAAAGGGACACCCAATGGAAATGTGGGGTCAGCTAAAGTTTTGCAGGGAAAGCAAAAGGGAACCGCCTCACTTTGGGGTTGTTTCACGTGGGCTCAGCAAGTGAAGTAGTCTCAATACGGGCACGGAGAGAAGGCATCGAGTCCCATACCCTTGCAAACTCCTTGCCATGTCCAGATGTCGGGATCCCAAGCTTTAGGCTCAGTTTCTAGCGGCGATTCTTCTGGCCGTGCCTTGACCCTGGGCGCCTTTCCGGTTGGCCGCCGGTAGTCGTCTTCGCTCGCCTCAAGCAACAGCTATGTCCAGAAACCGACTCAAAAACACCAATCCTTTAGCACAAATGTTATATTCTGCATTGCTGAGAGTCGTTTGTCATGCGAATGCGACAGGCTTTCTTTGACAAGTGAGCACATTAGGGTATACTCTGGACACAAAATGGCCGGAAGTCCTTCGTTGAGCTACACAGTTTCCAACTCAGGAAGCATGTTGTTGTACCAGCGGGAACAAAAACATGGATGCATCAAAAATAACAAATCCTGGAGTCCTTTGATAAGCAACTATAAAGCGGATACAGTGTAGTAAACTTGTTTCGAGATGTCATGGGATTGCTCTGCCCTGTAGGTTTATGCCTGCGACGCTTGAATTTCTACTGGATACAAGACACAAAGCGGGGACTCGGGCACCTGCTTGGCAAGTCCCATGGTACCAAGGCTTTAGTTTTTCGCCTCTCTCTCGCTATCTCTCTCTCTCTCTCGCTATCTCTCTCTCTCTCTCTCTCTCTCTCTCTCTCTCTCTCTCTCTTGTTCGCAAACAAAGAGTTGGATTATTCTGAAATTCGAGTGCATTGCTCAAAAAAGGGGGGAGTGCCATCTTCTATTGACAAGCGGGGATTTCTAGTGATCAAACAATTGTCCAACAGCTCCAAGCTATGTCGGCCCATGCTTGCTACACAACGACACTCCTTCTCACTTCATTATGCTGTGCTTCTTTGTTCCCCACTGCAAGCTCCATCGTGGCATCCGTCCACTGGGCTTGTCATTCCAACACATTGCATATTTGGATGCATGCAGAAAAACAGATGGGAGTATTGTCGCTTGCTTGCCGAAGCATTCTCGTTCGGCCTGGCCATCCTTGTCCCCCTTGTCGCGAGATGGAGTTCGCCTCTTCCTCGCCTTGGTCGCTATGTGCAAGGTACAGCGTGACGCCACTGGTGCTGCCGGTCTGGCGAAGGTAAATCCAAGCTAGATTCATGCCGGCCCCAACTGACAGTTAACTGTTGTCTAAGTCAAGCAAAGCACCTGAGCGGAAACGGCTCAGCCTCACTGGAGCAAGATATCCAGAATTATTTGTTATAGTCTTGCGCCCTGCCTCTGCGGTGCGTGAAGGGGTGCCAGCCTCAAGCAAAAAGTCAAAGGGGCTGAGCAAAGTTTATCCGGTCGCAAATGCCCTACAGTGAGCTGTTTGTGGCCGGGCAAAATACTTTTTGCATGGGGTGTGCTTGGGGGGTAGGAGCTTCGCCGGCATGCTTCAGGGTAGGTGCCTGTGCAACCCTCATGAACCAGCAGCCAGAATACCCCGACGCGTGCAGAAACAAGAAATGGGCCTTCTCGCACAGCCGAAAGCGAAGCTTCCCTGATCGGCCTGGCCATGCATGTCCGCCTTGTCGCGAGATGGGGTCCGCTTCTTCTTTGCCTCGGTTGCTGCGTGCCAGGTACTGTTGTTCATCGAGTGATAAAAGGGCACCAAATTCAAGAAAGCCGCCAAGAAATGTGACCCTGTTTTCGCCAAGCCTTTGTCAATATCTTAATCATTCTTCGTCTTCTAACTGCTTGAAAATCCAAAAAACCCAGGAGCAAGTAGTCCACGACCTGCAAACTTTGGATTGCCTTCTTGAAAAGAGCCCAGCCAAACATGTTCCAAGGAGGGAGGCCCAGATACTCAAAAATATAAATAGAACAAGGGTACTCAAAGGCAAGGAAGTTCCTGGGCAACAAATGCCAAAATAATCAACCAATACCAAACCGACGCTCAGCCAATACTACACCAGTACTCAGGCCGCAGCAATCATCCCCAACCCAACTCTAACCCAATACTCAACCAACATTAAGGCGGCACTGAGCAATACCAGACCAATACAAATCAGAAAGGCCAATACTAATTAGAGAGGACCGAAGACGACCGAGGAGGACTGAAGCGGACCGATCATAATCTTGCACAAACTGATACAAAACAATGCACACCAAATCTCAAGCCAGTACAAAGGCAGCATTGAGCAATACCAAACCAACTCTGAGCTAATATCAAGCCAACACTAAAGCAGAAACGGGCAATACTAAAACAATACTAAAGCAACACTAACAAGTACTTAGTGAGACACTACTCGGGGAGGACCTCTACCCCTAAATTGCTTTTGCGGTTTCCTCTATTGGGTCTGCGTGACACCAGGCTCTGCCGCTCTGGCCAAGGAAAACCTAAGTTAGACCAATGCCGGACCCATATCAATCTGGAAGTGCAAGTCGTTGTTATGCCAAACTGACAGTTTTTGTTCCGAGGATCTCAGACAAGCAGGGCACCTCAGTGAGAAGTGTCACTGCAAGATTCTTGGCAAGTTACTTTCGGAACAAGCCATCCAAAAAGTGTTGACAGTTGACTTGTTTCAAACGTCACGCCAACCTGACAATTTCCAAACGTTCAATGCCTCAACCTTGAAACATTTACACAACGCGTTTCTCAGCCTGGTTGCAACCCGGTCAGCAGATCTCTGCAGCTGTGGCTCCTGTGACGGCAATGCTTGGCTCAGTCAGACATGAAACTCTGTGTGGAGTATCTGGTGCTTCAAAACGCTTGAGGTTTGCGTGCTTTTCCGAAATATCTGGCTCGTTTGCAAACATTCACGTCCATCAACATCATGAATTGCATAAGTCTGAATTGGGTGCGATGCAGCTGTTTGTGATCCAGCGATTGGTGTATCGCTCACTACCCTACAAGCACGATCGCCATGATCCCTATCACGGCCAACAAATTGAACGGGCATCAGGATTATAGATTCGCTTGGATCAAAGCATCGAACTGGCCCGCTCAACATGGAGGGCCAATGCTGAAGCCCTGCTGTGAACCGACCAATGCAAGAGACCCCTTGTGTAAGCCAAGCCAAGAACTGAGTACTGCCTGTGAACCGGTTTGTCAAGCATGCAACCGTTGATGCTCATCAAAGAAAAACACGCAAACACATCCGGGTCGATCACAGTCTTGGTCCCTGCCTTTGCGGTGTCCATCGCAGGCTGGCGAGTGCTGCGCGCAGGGGTAGCAACCTCAAGGGGCCCGCTGCTTTTCCGAATGGTGGGCACACGTGTCCTACATATCCTCCTGGATCTCCTGAGCCTTTTTGCTTCCTGTTTGCCTCCATGTGGGTGAGGGGAACCTCAAAATGGTGGTTTGCCTGTTGGTCTCCCCCTTTAACACTATGGAAAACAACAAAAACATGGGCTACCCTCAAACAAAGAGACACGGCCATGTATCTCCATGTAAGCCCGCCCATTCCTGGGCCGCCCAGCCGGGCCAGGGGTACGCGCCTTGCGCGGCGCGAAAGGCGTGGGCTTCGCGGGCGTGCCGGGAGCGTTGACATTGCCCGGAACGCCTGGCGCACGTGGCACCTGGATTCTGAAAAAATAGCAGCTCTGGACCTGCTGCAACTTGGTCACTGTGTGGTGTCCTTCTTGTCGCGCTCCAGTTTAAACCGTGTCACAACATTTGGGTGTGCCTTTTTTCAGGGAACCCTTTTTTGGGATGTGTTAAAAGGGAAACCCCCGCAAGACACCACCAGTTTTTTGGGGGCAACCTAAAAAAACATATATACACACACATTTTCCAACAAGCCACTTGCCGGGTCTTGCTCGCACTCGTGCCAGATTTTGGGAGGCTTGAAAGTAGATTGAAACAGGTTCAGCACTGCCTGGCGTGGCAGGTTCTGGAAGCTGAATCCTGAAGCCATCAAAAGTCGCTCGAAGCTCTCAAACACGAGTGCCACATGCCAGCAGGATGCGCACACAAGCCAAAAGCTCAAAACAATTCCCACACGCCATACGTTCAAAGCCATACTTACATATATATATATATACTTACATATATATGTATATATATATGTATTATGCATATTAAGACTGTGCCACCCACATAAATAGCATTTGCTCTTCAACGTTCTGAACAAACTGTCTGTGGTATTCCTCCTCTTGGTTTTGTCCATTCATTTCATACATAGTCTGGCCATAAACTCAGTCTATTTCAACACAAGGTAATTGGACAACTAGCATCATAAGCAAAATTTGGTACAGTGCAAAAGCAAAGTTAGGTAACTTGTCATATTTCACAGGGTCTAGACCATAATATGTCATACATACATGTCTGAAGTTTCTCAAAAATATAATAGAAATTGTACTGTTCTCTCAATGTGTCCGGATTAATTTTGTTTTGGCATAGTCTTCATCGATTATGTTATCCTCGCTCAACTGGCTGTAAAACATCACTGTGAGGGTACCGGCGCAATTGTGTCGAACAAAAAAGGCAAACAATACCTCTTCTGCTTCGCCTACTCATCCTCGATGTCTCATCTCAACTGATGTGCAAATCCTCTTCGTCTGTCAACTTACAAACCTGTGGCAATACCAAAACATCTGCTCACGCCTCATATGCCCGGACCAATGCCACGCTGTCTGCTAAAAAACTAATGTCCCTGAACAAAATATGTTCTGCACAAGACCTGCCAATGCAAAACACTGGTAGTTACAGTGTTTTTCAATATCCAAGGGTTGGTGTGGAGTTTGTTTTGAGTCATGTAACACATATCCAATGTCCATAAAATACAGTTTTTCCACGCACAAGTCGAACAGGATGATAAGGTGCACACCCAAACAGGAATAACTAAAAGCTGCAAGATTGAAGACTCCCAGGACTCTATATCTTGAATCTTGAATCCAGCATGCGCCCCCCCCCCCCCAAACGCCTTAAAGCACTTTAAAGCACTTTTGGATCTAAGATTCAAGATTCAAGATTCCCGGGATTCTCGATCTGATATCTTGAATCCAATATGGGGCCCCCAAAACGCTTGAAAGCGGTTTAAAGCGTTTTCATCATGGATTCAAGATTCAAGAACTAGTCCTGGAAATCTTGAATCTTGAATCTTAGATCCCAAAGTGCTTTAAAGTGCTTTAAAGCGCTTTAAAGCGTTTTGGGTGTGCTCCCTGCTGGATTCAAGATTCAAGATCTAGAGTTGTGGGAATCTTGAATCTTGGCTCTTAGATCCAAAGGTGTTTTAAAGTGCTTTAAAGCGTTTTTGGGCCCATACTGGATTCAAGATTCAAGATCTAATTAGAGTGCTGAGAATCTTGAATCTTGAATCTTACATTTGGGTGGATACGGTCACAGTCAAATGTCAGCAAATGCAGGCATAGTTAAACGCTCCAATTGAGCGCCTGAAACGGGGTGGAAATCGCGCAACAGTACTGCAAACACCGTCAAATTCTTTTGGGGCGTGCCTTTTTTTGTAGGGGGGGGGTACTATATATATATATATGCGCAGCAGTGAAAATGGCCTGCAAAGCTATCGACAACTCAACTATTGTTCCAAACTGATTGAACTCGGATTCATGCCTCTCGTCTTTTACAGCTCCATCCAAGGGTGTTGCAGCAGGCATCCATGGACGGAATTGGTCTGGCAAGAGTTGGTAGCCCCAGGGCCTCCCTCAAAACGTGCTGGTGCTCAGGGAATGAGGGGATGCCCCCTACAAGCCATCCCCTATGGCTTCCCAAGAGAATCCCCAGGTTCATTCCCTCACTCCCTGAGCCGCAAGAAAAACGTCTTCAGCGCTCCAAAGCCAAGCTTCTCAGGAGTCAAAGGTGCCGGCCCGTAGCTTCCAGGCTCAGGGCTCTCGCGGCGCCGCTTCAGCATGTCGCGACCTGGCGGCATTTTCGGATGCAAAAGGAACCCGGGATCTTCCACGCAACGAAGCCTATGGTTTGCGACCCAACCATCGATTCCTCCCATAAATGCGCGCACTCAACTCAGAGATACTATTTTCCCAGACCCCAAACCCAATATTAAAATCGAATTGGCAAATACTAATTCTTTGGCTTAAACCAACCCGAAAACAGCACTCCTTGCTCGGAAGTCATCTTAAACGAGATTTGGACCCGTTTGGACCAGGACCCCCACGATACTCTAAGGTCCCTATTGATAAGTATTGCTCTGCCGCCAGGCGAACATGAGTGGGAGTGGGCCGTATTCACTATTTGGCGGAATGATTCCTTTTGGCTCGTAGCTGGCATGCACCTGGCGCATCTCTGCATACTCAAACTGGCATGCGGCATGCGCCGGTCACCAACCTTCCAACAACTCACCTCAGCTCAAAGATAATTTGTCTCCGCATAGCTGCAATCTGGGTGTGGCTCAAAAATAGGGGTCCAAAATGGAACGCTGGTAAATGGAAAGGTAGACCAAAACCTGTGTAATCCGGTGAGCTATACCCATCTCTCTGTGGACGTCGAAAATAATTCCACCCACTCCGGTCGCAACCCTGATGCCTTCAGAGATCTTGGCCACGGTGGCGTTCAGCGTCTGGAACTGCGCCGTGCTTGGCACAGCTTCACCTCAGCCCGGCTCCCATAGGTGTCCTTTTATGGGAAATAGATGGCCCTGGTAGATGATTAAACCACCAGGGAAACCAGGAATCGCCATCTATTTTTCGAGCAAAACGAGCAAATTTGACACCTATGCCGGTTCCCGAAGCCAACATGATTTGCTGGTGCGATGGGTAGGGAATGTGGGAATGAACCCAGGGTCCCCTTCAAGGACACCACAAGGGATGGTTTTCTTTGGGGTCATTCCCTCATTCCCTGAGCACCAGCAAGATAATGCCTTGAGGTCACCTGTTTCTAAATGAGTATTATGAATGAAAAATGCCATGTTCTGCCAAAAAAGCAAGAATTGCCCAACCGCTGACAAGGATTGCAATACACCAAGGTAGGAACATCTAGCCTGTTCGAAATCCTGGGGGGCCTACTCACGATCCGCAATCTGCGGAATCCTTGCTCTGGTTGGTACTCTCCGTAATCCGTAATCCGTGCTACAAATTGTGTGTCAAAGCTTCTTCTGCAGCATCGGAAATCTGTGCAACCCCTCAATCCGTAGTCCGCAAACTGCATACTCTAATCCGTAAACCGCATAATCCGCAAACCGCTACTCGTTGGGCTGACGAGCACTCAGCACATGCGCCATATCTGGCAAAGCAGCGGTCGGCCTTCCTCTGCACGCGGTCGCGCAAAGCATGGAAGTCCTGCGGGATGGGCATCGGACCTTCCGCATTTGCACTTCGTCGCGTGCCTTCCAGGTCGGTACCATGTTCAGGTCGGCCTTGCTGCTCAGCACATCTGTGAGCACCTTGCGCGCTTGGCGCTTGGACACCAAAGCGCATGGTGTCCGCTCCTGTTTCGCTTTCGGCCTTGCACTTGCATGCGTTCATCAAATGCTCTCACAAGGACATCACAACTGGCCTTCAACTCCTCCTTGGTGGGCACTGCGCACACGTTGGCCTCACGGCTGGACCAGTGAGCCGTCATATCCATTTGCTGTCTCTTGCACTTGGATGGGCAGCGGTTGCCGCTACCACTCACGAAATCGCCAATGACCCCTTCGCTAGGCAGAACTCAAATTGGAGTATTGAACAGACACATGACGATCAACCAATGAAACTTCACGGAATTACATAAATGCATAATATGTCAATGCTTATGTCAAAACATGTTCCAACACCGGCAAAGATTTGTCCCCCGCAGAGCGTGCCTTGCTGTGCAGTGCCTGGTTCAGGACCATGATGGCTGCCCGAGATGGCACATCCTGACCAAACCGAGACATAGCCGGCATCAGAACTGCGAGTTGGCGACTTATATGCAACAAAAAACAAGAAAAACCAGACTCGAAACCCCCAACACCCCAAAACCTGAAAGCCCCAAACCCCCAAACCCCCAACTTCCCCCCCCTGTGTTTTAGTCGCCTTCCGGCGCTTTCCGGCGCGCCTTGAGCAGGGCCTGGAAGCTCTGCAGCGTCGGCACCTCGCTGGTGTTCGCCTTCAGCTCCACACCCGCCTCGCGGGAAAGCCAAACCGAAAGTATCCAAGTATCCAAATGGCTGTGGGTCAGAAATAGGGTAACCCCCAAATGCAAGCCTGAAAAATGGAAGCAAAGATTAAAACTTGTGGGTTTGTGCTCGCTTAATTTTGACCCACACCCAAATGGGTGGGAACACCAATGCGAATTGGGCTTCATGTAAATGCCGGTTGCATAAATCCGAATGGAAGTTAAAGAACTGGTGGCCATACCACTCCCAAGTGGGATTGATGTAAATGGACAAATATTGGTAAATCCGAGTGTAAATTTGAGAATAGGCAGTAGTAATCCTGGAATTTCCAACATGAAAGGGTTCCCAACTTCATCCCATACCGACCTGTCCGATGCCGAGAATGGCCGCCAGTAAAATAATTTGCCAACCCCCACTGCGGGGGAGCGCGAATGGAAATGTGCTAAACAAATGCTTCAACAAATGCTTCTTGAGGCACTAATCCACTACTTGTGTATGCGTTTTTTTTTAGGATTCAATGGCCACGGTTGATCGCTTGGGCTTAATTGTCGTGCTGTGTTGGCTGTTGTTTGCAGTGTTGTGGACTCAAAACACCAACGCCACATTGACATGATGACGAAAAAAGACAAAGGCAGCGCAAGCAACTCTCTGCAACCAAAACACTAGCAAAGGGTGGCAAGCTAATACCTGAAATTCGGGCAATTTCTTCACACATCTGCAAACAAATACTCGCGGGTCACACTCCACACCAGCTAGTCAGTTGCTCCCCACAATGCGGGTGATGTTGCCGATGCCAGTTGTGTTGACAAATCAAACAAGTCAGCTCCAATCTCTGACGGGTTAATATGCAACATAAGACTTAAACATGCCCACCAGCCATGCCATCCCGACTTCTTCAAGTGTGCCTCGCCCGAATTTGCCAGGCCTTCAGCAAATCGAATTCCTCCTTGCAAGGCACCTCCTCCCGCGTGGCCTTTCCTTGAACCTCACGAGCACGAAGAAGCCATGGGTGAAAGGAATCGACTAGCAATGCACTCTTCGGCATGACCAGAAGGCGTTGATTTAAAGCACCGATGTCTGGCTGTTGTTCATCCGCTACAATTCTTGCACAAACCCCCGAGAAACAGGGGTGCACACCAGAAACAAGCCCAAAGAACAAGACCAAAACGCGCCTCTGTCATGAGCTGCTCAAAGTCCTCGCGCCTCACCACCGTCTCTGCGTCCGCCTTCTGCTGCAGCACCCTCAGCAGGAAACGGCCAGCAACCGCTGTTCAAGCAGTGGGTGGGTGAGGTGGGCGGGTGGGAAGTGGGAATGTGGAAAATGTGCTTAGCTTGGCACCAAGCTTGAAATGTTTAGTTTCCGCTCTGCACAAAGCAAAAAAAAACGGTGGCCCACAGGGCAAGAATAAATCAAACAACGGGTGTGCCGGAGCTGAAAAGCAGTCCAAGGTATTATATGGGTTACGAATGTACATATCAGGGACCCGAAACGGTGGATATCAGAATTCGTGGGTTTATGTCCACCACTCACTTTTCAGGGGGTTTTAATTATTCACAGTTCCAAGCGCCATCTGGGTATGGGTCAAAATGAACCACTAGGGGACCGCAGGTTTAAGAGCATATGTCCATCTACCAGGGTTCCATTTGGGGTACCTATTTTTGGCCCACGCCCATCTGCCAAACCGAAAACCCAAAGCCGCGGCCGTCCGCCGTGGCGCGTCTTCAGCTGCTCCAGGTGCTGCGTCTCCGCGCAGCGGCGCAGGTGTTGATCCAGGGCTCGGAACTCGGGGAGGCTCGGCACGTCCCAGCTGTCAGCCTCGCGGCTCCAAGGGATGATGATGGATATATTGGGGTCGATGTGGTCTAACTGGTCCGTTCTTTATATATATATATATTAATATATACATATATATATATATGCTACCCCCCCCCCCCAGGGACCTACCTTTTGGCTGCCTCTCCAGTGCATGAATTGCCCATCTAGGACTGGGAGGAACGATCTCTCAACTAGGACCAGGACCAAATGAGACTAGAACCCAGGATCTCTGAACTGGGACTAGGACCAAACTAGGACTAGACGACCCACCTCAGATTCTTACAAAAAATGAACTTCAAGTATAACTTCCTCTGCAATGTCCTGTATATTTTCTAATTGTTGCAGTAAACTAGGGAGCAACCTAACACTAGAACCAAGGATCTCTCATCTAGGACCAAACTAGGACTAGACCATTTAATTCTACTTCTTATAGTATTTGGATGTCAAGTATTACATTCTGGTGGAAAAAAAGTCCTGTTTAATATTTGGTCCTAACATGTAAATTCTGACTGGATATTCTCCTTATTTCAAATTCAATTGTTCAGCTAGAAGTTGCATAGAACTTGACTAATATATTAACTACAATTCATAACGACCTTCCTTTGTAATGTCCTTTATACGTTCTATGTATTTCAGTAAGCTGGGACCATACTTGGCCCATAACCAAGGATCTCCCAACTAGGACTAGGACCAAACTAGGACTAGCTAGTTCTGAAAGTGATTGAATTTCAATGTACAATGGTCTATTGGACAGAAAATAGTTTGTACCATTTAATTTGACATAAACAGTCAATATTTAAGTTCGAATCTAAATCGCAATTTTGGCTGGAGTATGTCCTTCTTAAGCTGCATTGAATTTCAATCAGAAATAAGGTTGAATTTGATAAAACATACTAAGTGGAATGCATAAGGAACGAATCCAAAGGTCCCAAACTTGTGTCTTTCACTAGTCCTAACACTACCTTGGTCAGAAAACGCCGTAAAACACAGTGTTGTGTAGCGTTTTTCATACTCAATTCACATCTCCACCAACGAACGCTCTCTAAATGCTCATTTGAACTTGAACAGGATTTAATTGGGACTCAATACGGAAATATTTGGTCAGAATCCTAATTTGAGATTGCGAGTTTAAATAGAGTTCCTTTTCCAATATATACTTGCAATTCAATAACAGGATTTGATAAGGAAAGAACCCATATTCTCTAGACAAGTCTTCTTTGCAAACGCGAGTCCAGGCCCGAGTGAAACCCATTGAGACCGACTGAAATTTCAGTTGAGCCTGGGTTCAAGATTCCCTAGAAAACTTTGACCTGCAATCTTGAATGTGGGCCTAGATTGAAACAGGTTGAATGAATAATCAGGACTTGGATGCTTGCACAACACTGTGCTAAAGTACAGCCGCGCAAAGTGCAATGTTGAATTTGGGTCTCGATTTAAACCGATTTAAACCGATTTAACTTAAATCGGGCATGGATTCAAGATTCAAGATTCAAGAATCCAGGCCAAACTTTTCCAGGGATTCTTGAATCCAGGCGTCGATTTAAACCGATTTAAACCGATTTAACTTAAATCGGGCATGGATTCAAGATTCAAGATTCAAGAATCCAGGCCAAACTTTTCCAGGGAGTCTTGAATCTTGAATCTTGAATCCATGCCCGATTTAAGTTAAATCGGTTTAAATCGGTTTAAATCGACGCCTGGATTCAAGAACCCCTGGAAAAGTTTGGCCTGGATTCTTGAATCTTGAATCTTGAATCCATGCCCGATTTAAGTTAAATCGGTTTAAATCGGTTTAAATCGGTTTCAATCAAGCCTGAAGCTTCCAGAACGTCCTTGGAAATGCTTCTTTTTCATTGCTCTCCCCAAAGCCCAAAAAAGGGTAGAAAACACTGCAAATACCAGTGAATTCATCAAAAAGGTAGGTCCCTGGGGGGGGGGTACCATATATATATATATATATGTGCGAGGTACCTCCTTGGTACATTTGCCGGCAACACCCCCCCCCCTACGGACAAGCGAATCGCAGTGTCCGTTTCTTGGGTCACTTTGACTGCCTTTATAAGGGCGGCCCGTTACAAGGAAGCCTTTCTAAGAAGCCCTTTATAAGGCAGCCTTTATAATATGCCCCTTATAAAGAAGCCTTTATGAGAAGCCCCCTATAAGGAAGTCTTTATGAGGACGCGTTTATAATGAGCCTTGCGAGGAGTCTTTACTGCGGTTCCCTTCATATAAGCCTTTATGAGAGCACAGTTGTGAGGAGCCTTTGTAAGGAAGCCTTCAAAGAAGCCCTTTATAAGGAAGCCTTTATAAGGACGTGTCTTAGGCGCACACACACACACACAAACACACACACACACACACCCACGCGCGCGCGCTCTCGCTACGCACACGGGCCACTGCGCTCGCTACGCATGCGGGCCAATGCGCTCGCTACGCATGCGGGCCGCTGCGCTCGCCACGGGCCGCCGCGCTCGCTCGCCACGGGCCACTGCGCTCGCCACGGGCCGCTGCGCTCGCTCGCCACGGGCCGCTGCGCTCGCCACGGGCCACCGCGCTCGCCACGGGCCCACTGCGCTCGCCACGGGCCGCTGCGCTCGCTCGCCACGGGCCAATGCGCTCGCCACGGGCCAATGCGCTCGCTACGCATGCGGGCCGCTGCGCTCGCCACGGGCCGCCGCGCTCGCTCGCCACGGGCCACTGCGCTCGCCACGGGCCGCTGCGCTCGCCACGGGCCACTGCGCTCGCCACGGGCCGCTGCGCTCGCTCGCCACGGGCCACTGCGCTCGCCACGGGCCGCTGCGCTCGCTCGCCACGGGCCACTGCGCTCGCCACGGGCCGCTGCGCTCGCTCGCCGCGGGCTGCTGCGCTCGCCACGGGCCACCGCGCTCGCGAAATGAATGTCGGTTCCGCGAGACGCAGGAAATCCACCAAGCGTATTTTAAGTGAAAGGTGATCATACTTCTGCAAAGCTTTTGTCTCACAATGCTGCTATGTATCACCACACATCTTTTTAGCGGCTCCACACTTTCCCGTCTTTAGCCGTCATGGCTCACGCTTTGACGGCTCCACGCTTTCACGGCTCCACGCATCCGCGGCTCCCCACGCTTTCACGGCTCCACCGGCTTTACGTTTTCGCGGCCCCACCAGCGGCTCCACGCTTTCACCACTCCACTCCTTCCCGGCGCCACGCTTTCGCGGCTCCGCGCCACGCTTGCTGGCCCCCGCAACCTAATCATGTTTCTGATTGGTCACCTTGCTGCACAGCTTCAGCGCTTTGTTTGGAATGCGGTATGACAACCACGCTCAGCAACTGATCCAAAAGACCTTCAGAGCCGAAGTGATTCCGAATGGCGCGGAACCAGAACCACATGGAACATGACATATGTAGCCATGCTCGGAGATGCAACAATCATGGGTTAGCTCATCTCTTGCGCGGGTTCCTATGCGGTTGGGAAAAAAGCATGACTTCAACCAAGCCCGTTCCTCGTTAGTGTTTGACCGGTCCAGGAACCTGGTTGCGACTTGTACAATCCATATAAACTCAAAGAAGGACTGGTTGCAAATTGAAACGTTAGTCTTTGAGGAGCCTCGGTGGAAGATGTGTAATAAGCAGACAGCAAGATCTCAAAAGCAGAGCTTCAGTGGAAGAAATCCTTATAAGTCGACAGCAAGATCTCGGAAGCAGAGCTTCAGTGGAAAAACATATATTCTCAGAAGTAGATAGCCAGATCTCGGAAGCAGAGCTTCGGTGGAAGAATTCTCAGAAGTAGATAGCAAGATCTCGGAAGCAGAGCTTCGGTGGAATAAGTCTCAGAAGGAAGCTGCAAGAGTGTTTCGGCCTAAATTGAAAGGACAATAATGCCAAGGCCCACGCAGATTTTGAATTCCGGGTGCGGGGGCCGCAGCTATGATTTGCGCTTTTTCTTTGAAATATGTTTGATACTTCACCCCCCTCTAAGGGCAATGAGCGTCCCAGGGGGGAATTTGTGCTTACGTGCGCTTATGCACTCCACTCTCGCGGTGTGCTCTCAGTGTTGTTTGCGGTCACACAGCAGTGAAAGAGCATCACGTCAAAACGTGTTGAGAGTTCCGAAGCCACCCTTGGGTTTATCCCCACCCCGATTTTGCACTAGTGGGGTTGGCGGAGAGGTTCCCTGAAAAGATTTCGTACAGCCTTTTCAGAAAGCCTGGCCCCTTCTGCAAGAAGCAGCTTTGCCCTGCACAGAAGCATTTCCAAGGGGCTCGCAAAAGCAGGCTTCTTTGCCATTAAGAACCCTCAAGCAACCACCTTGTGGCGGCTCCCTTGGTTTTGCCTCCAGCAGCACAAAGCTGCCAAACTTGCACCTTCCTTGCATCAAGAAGCATTTTGATAAGCCAAAGCAAGGCTGTGTAATATGGAGCCCCCATCAAGAGGCGCCCAGGATGCTCAAGCTTTCCTCGGCTACATTTGAAGCTACGAAGTTTTGGCTCAGCATGTCGGACCTTCTGGGCAGGGCGGTGAAATACACTTCCAGCAATGGGAGTGTGCACGTTATGTACATACACGCGATGAAGCTCGGTGGCTCGGTCCTCCTCTCGCCGAGACTCCTGGCTGAAATCTTCGTTTCATTCGCATTGCGTTTTTAGCCCAATGCTTCCCCGGACATTTAACTCATGTGCACGTTTTTTCTGTGCTTCTGAAGGGTGTCCGTCTGAGGGGCATGCCTGGCTGGCCTCGCTGTTCTCAGGATCACTGATGAACGGTTTTGAAACACGTTGCCCATCAGCTTGAAGTTTTCAGCCATCAATCAATTTCTAATTGTTTCCTTCCATTTGTGCCAAATGAGATACACACACAGAGCAACAAGAGTGAGATATGCCCGCAAGGGTCATGAAGAGGGTAACTGTGTGTTTTGCAAACCCTGAAACCCCTGGACAAACACGCGCGCACGCGCACACACAGACACCAAACAACACAGCCAACAACACACACCACGCACCACGCGCCACGCACGCAATCGCAATCGCTTCCCAAGGTCTGCACGAGTCGCCTTCAAATCACTGGGTTTCGCCTGCGCAGTATTCCCTTCTGGAAGCCCCACGGCTGCATTGGATTGGAAGTGTGTAGCTGGTGTGTGTGTTTTCAACTTGTGCATTTTGTCGCAGTGCTTTGAATTTGTTTGAGCAAGGCGTGGCGGCATGGTCAGTTTGTTTCTTCTTTGCAGTATTGAACACGCCTGCGGCAGGGCATTTTGGGGACGGTTTGGGGCCCGCCAAGTTCGTTTTGCAAAATATTGTGTTCGGAAGCTGCCTACAACCAAAGGTTGGCAGAGCAGGGCTTTTGGAAGATGGCTTGCGGAGACTATCGCTCCTTTTGCTTTGTTCCCCAAACAGCTTAGCTGTTAGGGTTGTTAGGGTTCTCTAGTCGCGTAAAGAATTACGGTCCCGACACCCCTCCTGGTCTCTCTCCCTTCTTGTCTTCCCACTCCCTACTTGTGCTCGGTGATGCCTGGTGGCTCCGACCTTGCGACTGCGTGTCTGCCCACTTGTCTCCCCGCTTGTCTCCTTGCTTGCGCTTGGTGACTTAGACCTTGCCACGGCTTGACTCCACACTTCTCTCCCCGTTTCTGCTTGCTAACTCGGACCTTGCCACAGCTTCTCTCCCCACTTGTCTCCCCGCTTGGCGCCTGCTGATTCAGACCTCGTCATGGCCTATTTCCCCATTCGTCTTCTCACCAGTCTCCTTGCTTGCGCTCGCTGACTCGGGATGTTGTCGCAGCTTGTCTCCCCCACTTGTCTCCACACTTGTCTCACTTGTCTCCCCGCTTGTGTTCCTGGTTGTGCTTGGTGATTCGGACACTTAAGCCTGGCGCGTGCACTTTTGTCTTCCGTAACACCTACTTGCCTTCTGGGTATTCCATGACATGGAAAGCGCTGCAAGACTTGACAACAGTTGGTTGCCTCTGCACCCTCTTTTCATGCAAGGCAATGTCTTGTCCTTGACTCTGGCAGCTTGATGTGGCTGCCCAAACATGGTCTCCGGTTGTTTGCACTTTGTGGTCCAGTCGAATCGAGGTGATGCGCGCAATTGCTGTTTAGGGCTGGTGCTGGTTTAATAACGCGACGTCCCAGAAGGGCTTTTCGAAGACGGTAGCGGACCCATTTAGTTTATTTGGACTTATTCGTTGGCTCCAAAGTTGTCATGCTCGGAGTAGACGAGACTCGAATGAGTGTTGTCAGCTGCAAGGCGGACAATGCAGAGAAGGGCAACAAGGAGGGCTCTTGGGACATGAAAGATGTGCCTGGGCATGTTCATTGACACTCATGTCGAATTTGCGTTGGCCCTGGCTACCGGGAATGACACACTTTCTGCATTGAAGCTGTTCAGTCTTCTGGGCTCTTTGTTTGCCTGAGGCAAACTGCGCAAAGCCAACTTCGAAGGCAGATTCAGCCTGGCGTGCTTGGAGTTGGAGTTGGAGCGATGGCGATGCCCCTTGGCAAAATGGATTGCCTTATTAGGTCCATCTTGGGGCCGCGAAGTTCGAGGACATAGAACAAACAACCCTCTAGCTAGCCCCATTCGCAGCCGAAGATCAGCAAACGGCGGTCGCTTGTATTAAAGTAAAACACGGTAGCCCAGAAACCCAAAAACAAAAGGAAAGAACGTGCGATGGTCTGTGGAGTTGTTCGGAAGACAAACATCAATGGTTTAGAGCCAATTGCGTCGTTTTGTCAGTTTTGGGTTTACACGAATCTGTCATTCAGGATTGAAGCAGGGTGGCCAAAAGCTTCTTAGGGGTCATACCATTCCACGGCCATCTGCGATTGAGGCAAACTGCACAGAGCCGACTACGACGTCAGAGTCAGACTGGCGTGCGTGGAGTTGGAGCAACGCCCCTTGGCAAAATGGATTGCCTTATTGGGTCCATCTTGGGGCCGCGAATATCAAGAACATAGAGCAAACAACCCTGCAGCCTCCCATTCTCAGCCGAGGAAGTTTCACTTGCATCAGCAAACGGCAGTCGCTTGCGTGTGAAAGTAAAACAAGAGTAGCCCAGAAACTTAAAAAGAAAACGGAAGAACGTATTTCCCGCGATGTATCTTCCAGTGCTCGATGGCCTTCTTGGAGTTATTTTAGAAGGCAAACAATTGCGTTGTTTGGTCAGACTTGGTTTTAGAGCCCGTCATACGAGATTGAAGCGGGCTGACCATTCCACAGCCATTTGCGAGTGAGGCAAACGGCACTGCG